TGGGTCTCCCATTGGCAGAGTACCCACGCCCTGGCGGTTGGCTTCACAGCCAGACACTAGCTGATGTGGGGATATAAAAGTCGGGTTCCCTTGCCTCAAGGTAGGATCCTGTATGACCAGGCAGGGGCAGACTGGAGCTGAACCCACATCTACCGCCTTCCCTGCTTCCTCAGGACAAACTTCAGTCAGGCTCCTTGGAGGCCTCTTTTCAATTTGGCTCATCCTCAGGCCCTGTCTTTGGCCTGTGCCATCTATTTGTAGCAATAATCCTGCCAAGTCAGCCTCACATGAATCCCCCTACCATCGTTAACGGATTACCCTCGATGTCTGATCACCCTGGCCTGCCTTCCGCACAAATGCCCCTACCCTCAGGGTCTTCTCCCTGTAGTTGTCCACGCACGGATCCTTCACTTGGCTTGCTGGCTGTGATTCCCCACTTGTATTCAGAGTTGAGCCCGATCTCTCCACTCTATTGCGATAGTCTGACACTTGTTACAACTGTTTCAACACTTTTCAACTTGTTACAACTGTTTCAACACTTTTCAACTTGTTACAACTGTTTCAACAAGTGTCTCAATAACTTTCTGTAACACCCCATTGCCTACAAGGTTCGCCTGAGAAAACCCCTCTATAAAAGATTTGCATGAGAATTTCCTTTTCAAGCTCTACTTCAAGGAACCATACCTAGTACAGAAGTCAAGCTCTGCTGTGATCTCAGGTGAAGCCTAATCCCGGCCCCATCCTATGGGGGGTAAATGATACCCCAGAGTTTGTCCCATCTCAAGGCAAAGCACCTTCATGCCAGCCATTGGCCACAGATCCTAGGGAAGCTGGGGAGCAAACCTTCCAGGCACCCCTGGCTGGCTAAGTAGTGAGGGTAGCCCCAGAGCCTCATGACCATTGCAGGTGGGAGCCCTTAGCAGCAAAGTCCACAAAATAAGATATGGGCACACTGAGCCAGGAAAAAGAAGTTCACGGGGATTGAGTGGGGTGCCAACATTTTTTACTTGTAGGGCAAAGAAATCAGGCTGCTGAAATGTCATGGAACAAGAATTCTAAATTGGTACCAGCTTAACTATCGGCAGCCATAAGGGTATTCTAATGAGCTGACAACAGGTTGCCGTTTATCAATTTGTTGCTACTTATATAACAAGAAGTACAGAATACAGTACTTATAAATCCTTGTAATGAAATATTTTCCCTTTATTGAGGCAGTGTTTATATAGATGCACATTAGTTTAAACTTTTTGACCTCATTTGCATTCTAAAATTACAGCACCATAATTTCCTTTTCCCAAATGCATTTACTCTTAATTAATCTTAACCACTCTCAAGCTTTTCTGATTTCTATTATCACTATTTAAAGTTGAGAAGACTTTTAATGGATCTAAATCACATATTCAAATTAGTTTCTTTTTCTAAAGTTATAATGACTTGAAATTTTATTTGATTTGGGCCCAAAGTATTACCTGAAAAGTAATTTGATTGTTTTACAATTTAAATCATCTGTGTGGAATAAAATTCATTAACCTTATTTACATGTGTGTAAAAATTATGACACTTTAACCAATTAACATTTCTAAAAAGTGTGCAGCATTTTATAGCATAATGCCTCCATTGCAGCTCTGTTCCCTACATCTCTGAACTCATTTAGCACCAGAAATTTCCAACTTTGGCTAAAATTTGAGTAATTGAATTGTCTGGCCAGACAGTGCCTTATGTGAAATCGTGTCTTCTCCTGTAGGGCCTAAAGGAGCTGTGACTCACTGAGGCCCACTCTAGCATAGTCTTCCTAGGATGGTGGCAGACAGCTCACCCTCACAGGGCTGGTCTGGAGACCACAGGCTGGGAAATGTCATCATTTCTTTCAGAGCTCCGTTCTGGAAAGGCACAAACTTGACATTCTTTGGACATCATTGTGCCTTGGTAGACACAGTGCTAGAGAGCCTTTCTTAACAAGCCTCAAAAAAATGGACATGACAGCTCATGGAGTGGTTAAGATGTGTACCCATGAAGCTCAGTGCAGTGCATTCAGCTCAAGCTTGGGTTTGAGACCAGGCTTTGCCACTTGCTACCTATGTGATGCTCCAGTTCAAATCCTCCGTCACCCAGACTCCCTCACAGGTCCTCTGCATGCGTGCTGCCCCTACCTCCAATGTTTCCTTCATTTCATAGCCAGAGTGATTAATTTGTGTCACCTACTTAATAAGCTTCCCATTGGTTTCCTATTGCTGTCTTATAGGCAAAGTCCTTTACATTGAATAACAAGGCCCTCCTCCTCCACTCCTGTCCTCCAGCTGCACTGCCTTTTGCTGACCTTTGGGTTTACCCTTCTTCTTCATCTTCTCCAGGTGTTGCATGTGCCATTCCTCTACATGAAACTGTCCTTCCCTCTTTGGTTTGCCAGATCATCTCTTCCTCATCATTCTGGTCTCAAATTGGGGGTCACTTCAACTTCCTTAACTGGGTCAAATCCCTTGCCACAGGCTCCCAGGAGCTCCTGTACAGAAGGTTCCTGAGAGTCCTCTGTCGTGACCAGCACCACATCACAGTTTTCCGTTTGCTATTGTGATCTCTTCCCTAACTGAAGGCTCTGTGAGGGCAAGGGTTACCACCCTAGTTCAGTGTCTATATCCTTAATTAATACATATTAAATTAGTGGTGAATACGAATGACTTCCTACCTTGCTTTAAGGTAGGAAAACTTATTCCTCCAATATCCCTATAAAGTCCACAGTAAATGAAAAAAATATGTGGAAAATCTCCAACTCAATCCTGTGCCCCAGCTATTTGGATGGTCCCTTGGGGATATTTTGGGTTCTGGGTGGGAGCCAACAGGGGTCGGTTGGGACAGAAGTCCAGGCGGGAGCCTGGGTGTACATGCCTGAGAGTAGGAAAACCACACCACAGCACCCGGCCTTTGATTGCTCTGCCTTTGATTTTCTAACACTCAGGGAAGTGAATCACATCAAGAATAAACAGTGAAGAGAATAAAAGCAGCTCATTGCTCTGGGGAGTTTTGTCTTGATTCTCAGTTTCTCTTGAGGTTAGAATTGCTCATCTGAAATGAGAAAACTGGAGGAAGTTCTCTTACCCAATAGGTATTGCCCCTTAAGACGCAGCCTTCCCCCCGTTTCTGGATAGAGCTGAGCCTCCTGCCTCTCTGTGGGCTGGGTCATTTATCCAAGAACATTCCTGATGAAGACTTTGTTACTATTTCCTTGACTTTGGCTGAAGTTTTTTTTGGCTTTGCCGACCATGGGAATGAGACAGTAGCAGTGGGTCCCTGCAAAAGTCCCTGCAAAAGTCCCTGCAGTCCCTGGTCCTCAGTTTCCCACTTACCAAAAATAAGAGGGATACTTGGCTGACACCTCCAGGAAGCTCATGAGCATATTTGGGGGTTAGTTTCTGAAGGATGGATACAGGACTCTGAGGACTGTTACCCAGCCTAGGCTCTTCACAGAGCTGGGCAGGTTGCACTCTCTCTCAAAGAGGAGGCAACAGTCCGAGTGGTCCCAGGTCCACAAAAGATGAAGACTCAACCTTGGTCCTGCAGATGACCAGCTTGATGACTTTGACCCATGGCTTACTTTCTCCCAACCTCGGGTTTTCCTGTTGTAAAATGAACATGCTCACATTGGGTTACATATCCTCAGAAACCCCTAAGTCAACTCTCATTCTCCAGTATCTTCTGACTCTGGCCATTTCCACAGTAGTTCTGGAAGCTCTGGGCCTTTGGAAATTCCCCCAAACCACTGCTCTATTGTACAAGTGGGGGCAGAAAGCTTTCCATTCACAACCTTACATATGTTGTCTGTATTTCTCCTGTGACACAAACTTCCTGTTCTTTTCTATCAGTGGACCTGAGGCAGCTCTGTTTCCCATAAGCCCCTTTCCCTGATCACTGCAAGGGTTGGGGAGGAGAGGGGTGTGCCCAGCACTCTTCCACACAGTGCTCAGTACATGTAGATTCATGCCGGCTCATTGAGAATGATATTCAAGAGCAATCCTTCCAGATTTCCTTGTGCCATTAACTCTGTGCTAATGCCTGGAGGCCCTGTTACTTTGCTGTGTCGTTTGTTTCTGTGTGACTGAGTAGAAATTATGACTCTGTGATCTCACTGGCATTTCCAGGTCTTCATTAGTCCTGAAAACATGCCTGCCTTGCGATTCAATGCAATGGGAGCCCGACTTTCTCCAAACCTCACGGCTCTCGGGTTAGAGTGCGTGTTGTAAAACAATAGTAATTCAGACTTCACTGGCCCTGTGAAGGACCTTAACTCTCTGAAAACTTTCCTCTCTGAGTGGTCTGGAAAATACTTGCAGTATTCCTCACAGCAACCTGAAAATTGTCATCCATGTTTGTAGGGTTGAATAGTGTTCCCCCAAATTCATGTTTGCCCAAACCTCAGAATGTGACCTTAATTGGAAATAGGGTCTCTGCAGATGCAATTAAGATGATATCTTACTGAATTAGGGTTGGCCCTAAATCCAGTGACTGGTGTTCTCCTAAGAAGAGACACACATGGAAAAGAAGATGTGAAGACAGGGCAGAGATTGCAGTGGTGCTCCACAAGCAAGGGACATCCAGGGCCACCAGAAGCTGGAGAAGCAGAGGAGCCTCTTCCCTAGAGTCCTTGAAGAGTCTTGGCCCTGCTGACACCTATGGATTTTGGACTTCTGGTTTCCATAACTGTAAGAGAATAAATTTGTGTTGTTATAAGCCCCTTGGTTTGTGATAATTTGTCAGGCATCCCTAGTAAACTGGTGCAGTGTTCTTATACACCAGCCATGTATCCACATGCTCCTTCCACAGATCCATTTGAGGGTAAGGGCTCCCAATGCCACTATTGCTGCCATCCTATGTAGCAGCCCTATCCTCTGTTCTCTTAGAAAACACTTGGTTGCAACTAAAGTTTCTTGGGATAGCAGTGGCTTAAGCAGTAAGAATTTACATTTTTATAATGACAATAAATACAAAGGCAGGACATTTGAGCAGACTTTCAGTAGCTCAGCAACCTCTGGGTTGACTTCTTATGGTTCTCTTGATCTTCCTCCCCATGGTTGCAAAATGGCTGCCAAGCTATATGTATTATGATCTCACACAGAGCATTTACAAATGGGAAGGAACAAGGGATTCCTCAGTCATCTTTGTCTATTTCATTTGGAGAAGAAAATATTATCCAAAGACCCCCAAAATTTCTAAGTCCCCTTGATCAAAACATGGTAACGTGTTCTTGCCCTTGTTGTAAGGGAAACTTATAAAAAGAACTTCTGTGGTTGATAGCCTCTCTCATGGAAGGTGAGATGTTTAAACAAAACAGTGTGGAGAGATGGTTGTTGGCTAGGATACAGATTTTGCCCCCCTGGAACAGGTTGGGCAATGCTTTCTGTGGATTCACCTATGCTAGTCCTGCTGTACACCAAGAAGAACCTGGGAGAAGCTCCTTGTTCACACTCTAAGGTCATGAGGCCTCAACAATAGTCTAAATAAAGACTCCCAAAGATACCCACAAACTAATCCCCAGAACCTGTGACTATGCTTCCTTACATGGCAAAAGGGACTTTGCAGATGTGGTTAAATTAAGTCTTGAGATGGAAATACTGTCCTGTTGGATCCAATGTAACCATAATGGTCCTTATAGGTGGCAGACAGAGGAGCAGAGTCAGAAGAGATATGACTATGGAAGCAGAGGTTGTAGTAATGTGACGATAAGTCCCCAGAAACTGGAAATACAGGCAGCCCTTAGAATCTGGAAAAGTCAAGAGACAGATTCTCCCCTAGAGCCTCCAGAAGGAACAAAGCTCGCCAACATGTTGATTTTTAGCTCAGTAAGATCCATTTTGGACGTCTAACCTTGAAAATGGTAAAATAATAAATCCATATTACTCTAATACACAAAGTTTATTGTTGTTTGTTACAGTAGCATTAGGAAACTAACAGAGCCCTGGGTCATCAGGCCTCAAAAAGTTCCTGGAAAATGGCCTTTTCATCATCTTCCAGAACCCCTCTCTCCCTGGGGCCAGCCATGTGCCCATAGACCTGGGCCATTCACCCCATGTTCCCCATTCCGTCATCCTCCCCATCCCCCTTCTCCATACTTCCAATCTGCCCCTTTCTCCCCATACCCTTATCCTTCCCATCCTCCCCATCTGCCCTTCCCTCAACTGCGTTCTCCCGCATTCTCCCAAGCTCCTTACATCCTATCCTCCCCATCCTTACCATCTTCTCTACCTTCACAATCCTCCTCATTCTCCCTTTCCCCTTCCTTTCCATACTCATCATCCTCTCCATTTTCCCCTCCCCTCTTGCCCTTTCCCAGGCTTCCATTCAGACATCTGCGCCTTACTGAAACACTGTGGAGGTTAAGCAACTATGCACAGGGGTGCTCAGTCAGGCCTACCTGGGGACCTTGTTTTATAGCTCTCACTCCTCACTTGTGAGATTTTTGGCCCCCTTTGTGCTAATAGTCACAGTAAAGTCTTCTCATCGGTATGACCCCCCCCCAGTCCCAGAAGAGAGGTACCTGTGGCTAGAAGGCTACCAGGGCTTGGTCCCCAGTGTCTGGGCAGTGAGGGGTAGAACAGCCTGGCCCACAGACCTTAGCTTTTCTGTAAGGGGTGGTGCCAGGGAAGAGGGAAGTTCTTCTCATCTAGGCTGGGGCCTGACCACTGCAAACCAGGAGAGCAATGATGGTGAGAACAGCAGCACAGATGGCCTTCCCTGCCTCTCCCAATCCTGCACTTGCCCCATCCCTGGAGAGTTAGAGTTGTAATTCAGTAGCTGTGGTGCTGCGTATGAAAATTGCAGTGAGCTTCCTGGCTCTGCAGAGTTTCCCTGGTTCTGAGCATGAGATGGGGTACTGGCAGGGGAGCAATTGGAGATGGTTTCCTTAGGCCCTTCCAGCCCAACGACAGGACTTTTCTGGTGAGAAGAAGCTGATGGCCCCTCTGCTGCCTCAGCTAATCGAGAGTCTCCTGGAGCCAGCTCCACAGCCCCGAGTCTGAGAAGTAGCTGGGTCAGCAGCTGTGCCTTTTCTAACTCCCAACCCACAGGGATCTCTTCTTTCAACTTGAGCTTTATTGTCCTCTCCCCACAGATGGAATTCCTCTGCTTACTTACTGCCCGCTCCCGGCCCAAAATGGAGGCAACACTGGATCCTTTCTAAGGTACAAGTGCTCTGCTGCAGGTCCCAGTCCCAACAGACTGAGGCCTCACTGTCCTGTGCAGACTGCACCAGAAGTATCGACGAATCCAGTGGACATGCCCGTGAAGCCAGTGCTCACCACTCTGGAGATCACAAACCCAGCAAAGTTAGTGGGTAGGGTAAGGTTTTGAGAGGATAAACTGCATTCAGGACCAACAATTTGACATGTGCCCAATATCAAGTTTGTCCCCCAAGCACTGCCCAGGGAGAAAGTAAAATGTCCAGAAAACAAACAAGTCTCACCCAGGCTGACTAGAAGATTGGGGAATTTATCTGTTTCACACATGTATATTAAAAGTAAAGCAAAATATAGGGGTGCCTGGATGGCTCAGTCGTTATGTATCTGTCTTTGGCTCAGGTTATGATCCTGGGGTCCTAGGATCAAGCCCCACATCGAGCTCCCTGCTGGGCAGGAAGCCTACTTCTCCTTCTCCCACTCCCCCTGTTTGTGTTCCTGCTCTTGCTGTCTCTCTTTCTGTCAAATAAATAGATAAAATCTTTTTTAAAAAAAATTAATTAAAAAAATAAAAGTAAAGCAAAATATAAAAAATTAAAATTAAAAAGCCCTTGCACAGGACAATGCCTACTTTCAGAACATCCTTCATGCCTTCCTCAGCTAGTGATCTCTGTTCCCCCTTCTTTCCCCAAAATTCCACTTCTATGGAATATGGGGTTAATCTTATGTTTTAACCCAGTTGTGGAGTGTGGTCATTGTTACAGAGCACTCCTGAACATACACACTGCTGGAGCCCTAGAGAACATTCATGGAATCCTAGGAGCTAGGACCAAGGGGAGGTGGGCTGATCCGGCGATGTGAAAACCATCAATGAAGGATTGGAAAGCAACTGTAGGATTCCTTTTGCTGTCCCTCTAGGAGAGTTATCTTGAGGAAAACAGCCTTGCCCAAGGTCACATACCTTCCCAGAGAAGCCCACATCCAGTGACTGATCAGTGGAGGGAGGGTATGAAGTCCCAGCCCTCATCCCACCAGGAGCATCTCTGCAGGTCCACAGCTGCAGGGCTTCCTGCAAAGCTGGCTGAGGCCTCTGTCAGTCCTGCATCCCAGCCCAGTGTTTCCCTCTGCCTAATCCTGCTCCTTTCTCCCCTCTTCCAGCAGATGCTGATCCCTACAGCTTCTCCTAATAACATCCTGCCTGTTCTTCTCCATCTCAGAGTCTGTTTCCCAAGGAACGTAATCTGTGATGGGATTCCCCTGGGATTACAGGGAGTCTTAGAGCCATGAAGTTAAACCCATGTTCAGATCCACCCATTACCACTACAGACACCTCTGTGCTTAGGGACAGGGACAGGGACTGCTGCTAGACAACAGGCCTTGTCCCCAGGGCTTGCTTTTTGTCTGGCCCCTTCTAGGAAGCTCTCAAAAAGATTGCTCAGGCAAGGTGTTCCCAGAATGGCTGGCTGCCCAGGTCCTCCTGGCAGGGACAAAGGTATGTGATCTTGCACAGGAACACAGTTTTGTGCTATGATGTTCAATGCCACGAATGTCCAGGGAAAATGGGAGTGGAGGAGAGGCCAGTCTGCTTTATGTAAAGTCCTAGTGAGCAGAGCTTTTCCCTCTTCAACAGGATAACCCTTGCAAATGAATGTCTAGCTCCTTGAGGTGGACAAGAAGAAAATTCCACATTGAGAGCCCTGGGAGGGGAACTCCTGAAGGACCACAGGAGTAAGGCTTGTTCTGGTGGAAGAACTCTGGCCTCCTTACTGTTGATCACAGAGAATTAAATTTCCTCCTGCCTGCCCATGGCTCCCCCCACCTTTCCCCAAAAAGAAAAGAAAAAGAAATGATAAAGGCCCAGGAAGAATTCCCTATTCATGCTGCATGATTTGCAAAATCAAGATAAGGGCCACCAAGGGTCCTTGTTATTTTTATATGACATCGATAAACCATTTTGCACTGCCCTCTGTCACGCCCCCTCCCCAACAAGCTCACAGCCACTCATCTTTTTGCACAGAGAAACAACTTCTGGAACTTCATTTCTTTATTATAAACAGAAGCATTAAAACTGCTCCCAGCTGGTCTTGGTTTTTAAACAACAGTCTTCAGTCCCCCACTTCCTCTGGTAGCATCCTCTCCCTGTTTTGTCTAGTAGAACCCATCAAGGGGCATTTGCACTGGAAATGAATGTTAATTGACTGTGGTTTTCTAAGGATTTTTATCTTACCAATTCCCCAAACATAAAAGGTCTGAGCCCTTATGAGACTGAAAAGACATGCACCTATAAGTTCTGGGACCTGCAGCCCTCACTCAGATTTGAAGCCTGATTCATCAAAGGCTGGGGGCTTGGTGAAAACTAGCACCCTCCAATCTGCTGCTGGCCTTGAGAGTACAGCTGCCATTCTCCTTCTGTTGGGGGCCTTTGTCTTGGGGAATGTGTGTTAGTCTGAGCTCTCCAGAGGGGCAGAATCAACAGGACATATATAACAATAGGTACACGCACACATACATCTTATATATACAAATTACTATAAGGAATTCACGCACATGATTCTGGAGGCTGAGAAGTCCAAGATCAGCCAGAGATTTGGGAGAGTCAATGGTACAGTTCCAGTCTGATTTTGAATGCCTGAAAACCAGGGGAAGAGGTTGTATGTTCCAGTCAGAGTCCAAGACTGAAGGCAGAAGACTGATATACCTCCTTAAAGATAGTTATGTAGAGGGGCGCCTGGGTGGCTCAGTGGATTAAAGCCTCTGCCTTCAGCTCAGGTCATGATCCCAGGGTCCTGGGATCGAGCCCCACATCGGGCTCTCTGCTCAGCAGGGAAACTGTTTCCTCCTCTCTCTCTGCCTGCCTCTCTGCCTACTTGTGATCACTGTCTGTCAAATAAATAAATAGAATCTTA